AAAAAAAATCTATACTAGCTTCTGTGGCATAGTTTCGCCTAGTAAAATTACTTTAAGTTTAATAGATAGGAATTCGTGAACCCGGAGTTGATGCTAAACGCTTTTATCCGTGTACTGTTTAATCATCTTCAATTCTTTTTATGATCTAAAAAAGCTCAAACTCTGATTTGCTGTTACTAGACCATTCCAGGCAACAAAAAACCAATAGCAATCGATCAATCTTCTTGATGCATAAACTTATGAAAAGTAGTGTTTGTCCTTGCATTCTAACATTTCGTACCCCAAAGCTACTCCAAAGTACTTTTCCCTTTTTTTTCACTCTTATGAATCTTATCTGGCAAATGAGTTGTGCATTCAAAGTACACGAGCTCTTACTGAGTTCTGTATGTTTCTACTGAGGTTGCGCAAGATGTGAGCAAAGAAGCAAAAGCGGAAGGATTGAGTCATACTTGTTTACTCCCTCCAGCGTTGTGAGAATATGTCAAAATATTCTGACATATTTGAATACCTTACATACCGTGAAAGCAAGCATTCTGGAATGCTTGCTTTCACGGTATGTAAGGCGATACTCAAGGCTCAAGAGAAGAAACAGAGCCAAGCTACCGAGAGTGTATTCGTTATTGCTGTGGCTGTGATCTCATATGTACCCATATATAAAGACGTGGAACCGCCATTTGGTTCGTCTGGATATTAAAACATTTAAAATATCCATAACGAATATAGAGTCCAGGAGCTGTTTGGCAGGTGTCCTGAATTATAGAAGACTTTTTGAAGTGCTTATACCATTTCATCCAAAACCTGGGATCGAAGGTATCATAGGGATTCAGTAAACAAAGTGAATCAGAATACTTCTGGTCTAAAAACTGGAACAAAAGTAACTTTGAAACCTTACTGTAGGACTTCTCAAATTTCAAGCATGGCTCACGTCTTTATCTATTGCCTCGCACTTGCAATCAAACAGTGCAAAAACAAATTTTCTATTTGTAAATCCAGTGCTGCATAAAATCATATTCACTTCTCAGAATGAATTGTTGATCCCTACCGCTTTTCAATTTATTATCAATGAGTTGCGTCCAACTTTTCAGCTCCTAGCTACGAGCATAATATGCACATACTGAATAGCA